CAAATACCAGATCTAGCAGCAGGCTAGATTTGTGGATTTAAGAGCTATGAGGGATTCAGAAACCATTTAGCTCAACTCACTCACTTCAAAGATAAGGGAGTCAAAGTTTAGGAAGATTAAGTGCCTTCCCCAAGGTCACACAGCAATTTAAAGCAAAGTTACAGGCAAGTAGTCTTCTGTTTTAGAATCCATGTCAAGTTGTCCGCATTCTATCTACAGAAATATAAAACTTCAGCCACTATAAAATCATCAATTCATATACGGTGGTCCACAGAACTCTAAGTTTCATATCTATACAGCTATTAAAACAAAGAAAATTTTACTTAAATAAGTAACTTCCTAAGGACAGTTAATTCTCTATTATTTCTCAAATTCTCTACACTCAACCCTATTTTTGTTTTCAAACAACTATGATGCAAGTTTTTGGGTTTTTTTAAGAATACAACCATCTTGCTTCCTAAGAACATAACACAGTCCAAGTCATAACATCATTTGGAAAAAGTTTACAGTTTTTCAATATGCCAGTCTTTCTCTAAGTTTGGTTATCAGTTCTTTGGTTAATAGTTTGCAAATTAACAGACTTGACAGCTTTATGCCACTTAAAATAAACCTTTTAAAAGTCTACCCATTTCTGCTATATGTCCTTATTATGAATCCCTTTACACGAGTTTCTTTAGGATTATTTATGCAGTTTAATTACAGCCCAATACTGTTCATTTCATACAACAGACTGAGTCCATTCAAAAAATAACTTTAAATTCTCAAATTCAACTTGACCTAAGCAAGCCAAATACTAAAATACCAACTTAAAGTTTTTGTCTCATCTATACTCAACGATGCCTGTATCCTCGTACTTTGATCCATGGTAATTATTTACGTGTACTCCACTCATGTATACAGAACAAACATTCCTGAAGCACCTCTTATGCTCCAGGGATTATTGTTGGGCATTTCACATGTCATCCCACTTAATTCTGAAAACAGTCTTCTGAGGCAGGTAATCATATCCCCATTTTAAAGAATAGGGACATACGACATAACACTTCCATTTCTTAGATTGTACTGAAAAGAATTCAAAGCAGGGACTCAAACAGGTATTTGTACCTCCATGTTCATAGCAGCATTATTCACCACAGCCAAAAGGTGGAAGCAACCCAACCCAAGTGTGCACCAGTGAATGAATGAATGAATAAACAAAATGTGGGATATATATACAATGGGAGTCCTAAAAAAGGAAAGAAATTCTGGCACATGCTATAACATGGATGAACCTTAAAGACATTATGCTAAGTCAAATAAACCAGTCACAAAAGGACAAATATTCTATAATTCCACCTATATGAAGGACAAATTTATAGAGACAGAAAGTAGAATAGTGATTGCTAGGGACTGAGGGTGGTGGGGAGGGGAGAGATATTGTTTAATAGGTAGAGTTTCAGTTTCAGAGGATGAAAAAGTTCTGTAGCGAGATGGCAGTGATGGTCCACAACAAGAAGAATGTAGTTAATGTCAAGGAACTATACATTTAAAAATGTTTTGTTAAAAGGGTAAATTTTGTTATGTATATTTTACCACAATAAAAAGAAGGAATAGGAACAGGTTTAGTTTCTTTTTCATTTATCTAGCTCTATATAAAAAGTTCGAATTTTCTGTGACATTGAAAAACATACATGTTACTTCTCTTCTTTTACCTGCAGTGATCATGGATTTAAAGCAGGACTTCTGGTCTATTCGTGGCCATATAATGTACTTTGCTTTTGGTCTTTTGTGTCGTAATGTTAAGAAACACAGGGTTAGACTCATACCAGTTGCCATCGGAACTACAAAGCAGTTGGTCACTGTATGGACACCTCCAAATAAGAAGAAAAACAGAAGTTAGTTGTTCCACTAAAAAAACAGCATCCTTCTTAAAGAAATGATATATTTCTATCAAATAAAAAGAGTTAACAGACTAGTGCTTATTCTTCTGTACTCACACTCAGGAAGCTCACTGCTAAATTCATCCTCCAGGCTTATGGCTCTGACTTTCTATCTTATTCTAAAAGTTTTATATATATATCTTTTCAAAAGCCATTTTATACTCTTTTTGGAGAAAAGCATTAATAAAAGAAATTAGGCAAAGGTTTGTGTGACTGGTCAGCCAAAAGTATTATGATTAACACAGTACATACCAGCCAACTTTATGATGTCCAGGACCAAAGAATTGGTAATTTTGTTCAAAAGGCTAGAACCTGCAGCTTTGGGTTGCACAGCAGAAATATCACCCGATCGTCCAATTCCATGAATGAACCTAAGCAAAAAATGGCCAACAACTGGACAAAAATATTCAGTGTTCTAAGTAATCCACTGTATAAGTATACAAATACAATAACCAAATAAACACTATACTTGACTATTAATAACGTGAAAATATCTAATTAAATCAAAACAAATTCATCAAGTATGCTGTGGTAGCTAGTCTTCGTCATGGCCACCATCAATTCCTTTTCTCCCTATGCCCATAGGCCACTGCCACACCAAGAGATGGGGTCTAATTCCTCTCTATCTGAATCTGGGCTGGCCTTAGTGACTTGCTTGGTCTGGAAGAATCTAGCAGAAGTGATGGTCTGGAACTTCTGAGCTAGGTCATAAGAAGCCTTATAGCTTCTATCTGGCCTCTTGAAGGGTTTGCTCAAGGGGAGGTGGGGGGCAGGGGGTCCTCTCTTCAAAGCCAGCTGCTATGCTGGGGAAAGCCCAAGCCAAGCCACTTGGAGAGGCCATCTGAGCTCCCAGCCATCTGAGTGACTCAACTTGGATAAACTGCCCAGTTGAACCTTCAGATGACTAAACTCTCAGCCAACACCTGACTGTACTGCATGAGAGACCTGAAGCAATAATCACCTGCTGAGTCCAGGTAACCTGTCAGAGGTAACAAAATAAATGACTGTTTTAAGCCACTATGTTCTGAGGTGGTTTGTTATACAGCAATAGAAAACCAGGATATATGCAACATTAAATTCTCTTCTTTCTTCCCATTTCCCTAATCAGAGCAGTGAGCTAACTTCTAACAGGGATGAGCTGATGTTTCAAATACTGCCTTAAGTTTAGAAGAAGTACATGCTCCTTGAAAATTAGTGTGCAAATCCACTCATTTTAAATTTAATCATGTTATACACTATTTAAAGATACCTCTGAATACACTTCAAAATCAAAAGTCTGTTTGTCATTTATAGTTGCCTAGATCAGAAATTCTGCACACTGGAATTATCACAGAACACGTGTCACACTCTATTACCACTGCAATCTCATATACTAAGCATTTTTTAACATATATTATCAACCATGTTATCACCTTATTTTTAACCATTAGTTTTTCATCCAGGTCATACATTCATTATCATTAGTTTTGACTGCAATAGTTTCGGCTGAAATAAAATTCTACTATTCCTAGGAAAATTTCATCATGATTTAAAATCATGGAAGATGGGAGTTTTAAAGAGTTTACCTATATTTCACAGAAAGGTTGGAGAACAGAGAAATGATCATATTTGGAACCACTAACAACTAAATGGTTATCAGAATTGATGAAAAGCTTTCTGAATAATGCAAAAGAAAAAAGTGACTTAATAATCTAAAATTATAATATACCTTTCCTACATCTACTGCAACAAGCAAGATATTTATAAAATGGGATTCAGTTTAGATGCAGATGAATGACGTTAAAGTTCTATAAATATACCATTCTGTAAAAAAACTTGCCATGTTAGAAAAGAAACATGGAAAACTATAAACAACCTTAGCATATTTTAAACTCTTAACAACCAAATAGGTTTATTAGGTTAAACACTCTTAACAGAATGTATAGACAGTACAAACATTCTTAACAGAACGTACAGCCAGTATCCTTATTCACCCAGAAGCTGACAGGGTATAACCACCTCATATTAGAACTTTTACCCTATTGTCCTGAAAAGCACCTACTCAGGTACATTGTTTCCATCTCCCTGTTGCATCTAGTTCACATGCCCATTTAAACAAGAAGTAGGTTACACACGGACATTTTATAATTTAATATGATTAATACTGCCACTATTGTTTTTAACAAAAAAAAAAAGAGAAAAGGGAAAAGGAAATGCTCTGTACTTAAAAAAATCATACCTGTAATGTCGCCGAGCAACTAATGCAGATGCCACTCTCCCTTCCCTTTCTCCCACACCACAATTTCCCAGGAAATTGTTGCTATCCATGATTGCAAGTTCATGTAAAAAAAGTTCAAGTGTACTTTCATCCCAACCATCCTCTGGACACTTGCCCTTAAGAAAAGAAAAGAGAAAACAAAAAAAGGCTTATGACTATATTTAAAAAACCATCATTCCCCAGAACCCTACTTCAATGAACTTTAAAACTTTTCCATGCACATTTTGCCATGCTCCTTGTTTTCTAAAATTCAGACATAAATTCAGCACTCTGAAGAAACTCTGAATAGGCAAAATGTTTGTGTTACACTATATTACAATTATCCACACGATGCTGCGAGAAGTGATAAATACAATGAGATTACTCAGGTTTAAAGTTGCAGTTAAAAGTAACTGAAAACGAATAAACCTTATCTTCAACTAGGATTTTTCACACCAGGGTGTTAGAACTAGGGTTGTCAAACTTTAGTGACATTAAAATTCAGGATGCTGGCAAGAACGAGACCTGTGAAGTTCCTCAGCATCACCTGCTTCGAGTTAGTATATCGTAGTTTATAAATATCATGTGTTCCCCAGGAGTAGTGAAAGATGGAAGACACGAACTTTGCCCTATCCGCAAACGAAAAAGTAAATCATGCCGGCCTTCCCCTCGCTTCCCCAACCCGAAGTTAGGAAAAAAAAAAAAAAAGGGCTCGACATTCCGAACTCCCTACATCCCCTAATAACACTCTCTGGGTTTTTGCCAGCATTGGCGAGGCTGAGAAGGAGCTGAACGGCGCAAGCCGGCATATGGCATGCCCAACTGCGAAAGACTCTGGGGACAGGGCTCAACCAGCAAACACGAGCAGGTGAGGCAGGTCCTGGAACTAACAGGGGCGCTGGGCGGAGCCGGAGCCTGGGGGGCGCGGCAGCTAGGGAGGGACCCGAAAGCTCGGTACCTTCTCCAGAAGCAGCCGTATGAGGTGCTCGTGCGAGCGGCGGGCCTCACAGCCCTGCCGCACGTAAGCCGGCGACACCAGCCGCTCGCCCGCCGCGAAGCTCTCGCGGTTCATGTCCGCAGTGGCGACTGCTGCCGGAGAACAACTAACACACGCCGGACACACTCCGAAACCAGGAGGCGACTCGCCGCCTGGACGGTACGGGAAGGCCTTGGGACAAACATCTACGTCTCGCTCTCGCACATGCGCAAACCGCTCCAAATAGCGTGCCAGGAGCAGAAGGATTTGAGCATGCGCAGAGGTGTCAGGGCGTTTGGCGGGCTTCAGGCAGTACAGAAAACGAGTCCCGCCTCCCTGCATCTGATTGGTCCAGTTAAACACTAGTGTGCCTGAGACCGTCTTGAAGGAAGGACTTTTCTTCTGTGAGGAGGGGCTGAGAAGTCAGGGCAGAGTGCGTGGCGTCTCTGAAGAAAACATTTCCGAAGTTACTCTGTGTTCCACTCTTGTTGAATGATGAGCTCTGGGAGTCTGTGCTTCAGCCTTACTCAGGTCGTGTTTCTCAGATTCCTGAACCGTTGATCCTTACCCTCATACATCTCAACATTTACAGTTGCCTGGCAACCCCATTTTTTTTTTTTTTTTTTTTTTTGTCTGTGTTGGGTCTTCGTTGCTGCGCCCGGGCCCCCTCTAGTTGCAGCGAGCGGGGGCCACCCTTCGTTGCGGTGCGCGGGCCTCTCATTGCGGTGGCCTCTCCTGTGGCGGAGCACGGGCTCCAGGCGCGCGGGCTTCAGTAGTTGTGGCACGCGGGCTCAGTAGTTGTGGCTTGCGGGCTCTAGAGTGCAGGCTCCGTAGTCGTGACGCACGGGCCTAGTTGCTCCAAGGCATGTGGGATCCTCCCGGACCAGGGCTCGAACCCGTGTCCCCTGCACTGGCAGGCGGATTCCCAACCACTGTGCCACCAAGGAAGCCCCCCCTCTTTTTTTTTTGACCGCACCACCTGGCATGGGGGAATCTTAGTTCCTCAACCAGGGATTGAACCAGTGCCCCCTGCAGGGGAAGCGTGGAGTACTAACCACTGGACTGCCAGGCAATTCCCTGGCGACCCCATTTGAAATAGTGGTGCCCCACTCCTTTTCTCCTTTGCGTTACAGAATTTTTGGTCATAGCACTTATCATTCACTTCCTGATATAACAGACATTTGTTTATACACACACACACACACACACACACACACCTATGAATGTAAACTCTCTGAAAGGCAGGGCCTTGGTGTTTGCTGCTATACTCCACAAACACCTAGAAAAGTGCCCAGAATATAGAAGGGGCTTTAAAAAAATTTTTTTAATACTGAATTAATGAATTAGTTTCACTATTCAACAACCCAACCCTAGGTGCCTGAGATACAGAAATGAAAAGGCAGATTCCCTGCCTTTGATTTCCTCCTAATCTTCCCTTTAGGTGAGCCTACAGTAATTCCTGAAATCACTCTTATCTAGTGGTATGCTAGGGCCCACTTGCACTGGTTCATACTTGCTTGCAAGAGCTGATTGTTAAAAAAAAGTTCAGTAATTTTGTGATTTTACAATTAAGCCAATTGTATTAAAAGCAAAAGTAGTAAATACTCAGTCATCACTTCCTAATTATTTTACTACATTTTACTATTATCTCTGCTCTTGAGATTATTTACGTCTGTTGTACCTGAATAGTGGAAATAAGATATATTGGCATCCTACTGCCCATCTCTTTCCAACTCCCTTTTTTAGTGGCATCATGTTGGTAGCTTGAAACTGTCTGTGGTAGGAGTATTTACACCGTGGAAATCAGAAAACTCTACAAATCCGGCTCTTACCTTCCCCCCATACACCACTCCCCTAGGACTCAGTTGTTTAACATGTACCAACTCACCACTATTCCTACTGCATGTTCCCAGGGCATCCTGACATTTATCAGCCATAGTGCTTGTCAAATTCCATTTCAATTGTTAATGTTTTGCCTTCCTCAACTAGACTGTGAGCTCCTGGTTGACAAGGACTATATTTGACATCTGTGTTCAAAGCACAGCTCGGAACACTATGTAATAGACGTTCAACAGCTTCCCCTTGCCAACAGCCTCCAATCAGAGCACACCTGAACCCTTCCTCTTTTTCACCATAAAGCTTTTCCCTCTCCCCTGCCTGCCTCTGAGTCTGCCAAATGCAAGTGGTAGTAACTAACTCTCTTGCACTACCAAGTTCTAAATAAATAGTCTCTTTGTTATTTGGATGGTCTACATTACTTTCCACAGTTTTCCTGAAGACTCCACTGAGACACGGACTGCACTGTCCATCACCATGGATCCCAGCCTTCAGCCAGATGAGGTTCTCACAGAGACCGTAGTGCCTTGCGCCTTGTTGCTGTCAAGCCTGTGCCAACATGGTAAGTCAGTGCTGAATCTGAGCTCCACTATTTTTGTGTTGAGTTCCTCAGCTATTTATTCTAAGTGTGGTACCCAGGTTTTGTTATTGCTTCCGATTTTGTTTGACATCCTTGGTGGAATCACACCATTCTTTTTCATGCTTTTTGGTTCTCTTTTGTACTTCTGTTTTGTATTGAGCTGTCTGAAAGTGTGGTCATAAGAAGAAGAATCATGGGGTAGAACACAGGCATAGGCCCTGTAAGCTTGTTATTTGAGTCAGCCTCACAGACTGATGAGTTTGCTGTTCTTACCAGACCGGCATACATTTGGACAAACTTCGTTGTGAGTCACCAGTAAAACTGGATGAGGTTCTCCTTTCCTCTTGATTTTTTGTCCTGAGAGCTTGCCTTTGATCAAGAGGGAGTTCACTCTAATTTTCCACCTGCCAAGGGGCACAGATTGTTGGGTCTGTGTTCAGAGGGGTCTTGAAACATGAAGAGAACAAACATCACTTTTAACCAACCATTGCCAGCTCTCCTGAGGTCATCAAAGCTTAAAACCTCTCCTCCTCTGGGAAAAATGGCTGCTTCTTATGTGTATTTTTATTACAATCCTAATACTGGTGCCTAGTTCTCTAAATGGCGTAATGTCAGCAGTGGGTATTTGGGCCTTCAGCGGCCACTCTGGGGAACATTTGACTTGAATACATATTTTATTTGATAGGTACCTTAGAAAAGAAAGGGAATTAAGATTTCTCAGGCCCAATGGGCAGCTGTGTTTGATTAGTATGCAGAAGCCTCCAAAGGAAATTCTGGTTCGAAAAGTATTTCACTAAAAGATTCTGTAGCCAAAGCCAATGAGCAATTTAACAAACTATTTTTTTTAAGATTTTATCTTTTTAAAAAAATTATTTATGTATTTATTTTTGGCTGCATTGGGTCTTTGTTGCTGCGCATGGGCTTTCTCTAGTTGCAGTGAGCGGGGGCTACTCTTCGTTGCGGTGCGCAGGCTTCTCATTGCGGTGGCTTCTCTTGTTGCAGAGCATGGGCCCTAGGCACGCGGGCTTCAGTAGTTGTGGTACATGGGCTCAGTAGTTGTGGCTCGCGGGCTTAGTTGCTCCGCGGCATGTGGGATCCTCCTGGACCAGGGCTTGAACCCATGTCCCCTGCATTGGCAGGCGATTCCTAACCACTGTGCCACCAGGGAAGTCCCAATTTAACAAACTTAAGCAACAATAAACTAGACTCCTTTCCTAGTAAATCCTCCTCATCCTGTTGCCTCCCTACATCCAGGTGTCCCTCTTCTTCCTTGTCCTTGTGATCTCATCAACTCTTCCCTTCTCTTCCTCTTGTCCACACCCCTTCCCTACTCCCAGAAACTCTCCTAAGAGTACAAAATGCCAGTTGCCTCTAAAGATCCGTCCCTCCTATGAGCCAGATATATGGGCCACTGCATAATTTAAACTTTGGACCCAAGATGAATTAAGAACTATAATTAAGCATCTCTGCTGCCATATAAGACCAGCAACTATTCATAGGAGCATTTTAAATTAGTTTGGGTGCATATGATTCAGGGTTACCTAACCTATATCAACTTGTACACATGTTGGTTAGAACCTCATAACCTCAGCTAGATCTTGGATGGCAAAGCTGATTGGATTGACCCAGAAAGGCATCTACAGAATCTCTCTTTCTACAATACACCTGTCCAAAAAAAAGGATCTAAAATATATATATATATATATATTTGAAAAGCAGGACAAAGTCTCCTAAAAGTACTTACTGTAGTATCCCCAAACATTTCCAATAAAAATTTATTGGACCATAATTGAACCATACAAACAGAAAAATGATGAAAATATAGGAGATTTCCATGATTTTCTAGTAGAAAATACCTTCTGACAACACTCAAGAGTTAATGAAGGTGCCAGTTGTAAAAGTAGTCCTTACGTCTCATTTTGTCAATGGGGTTAAACCTGAAACTAGAAGCCTAATTCAAAAGTAGAAATTAGAATGGGAAGTAGCTCCTTTGCCTGAACTAAAACACCTGTCAGAACATGTTGAACAGCTTTAGATAAGCTCCAAAATAAACTAGAATCATGCAGACTCAACAGCTAGGTGGCCCACTTCCCAAACAACTATTTTTGACAAGGTAGATATTGTAAACAAAAAGGACACTGGAAAAAAAGAATGTCCCATCCTATAAAAGAAAAACCAAGATGAAGAAAATCCCTCAATTCTGATCTATGGGGGTGCTCTGAAAAAGGAAAACACTTTCAATATCCTGACTTACCCTTAAACACTCAACTTGAATAAATATAGATGGTCAACCTCATCAATTCCTGGTAGATAGGGATGCTACTCTTACTACATTAAACACCATCTTTGCTCAACCCCTTCCTCAGAGTAACCATACACACAAGTGACAGTTCTTTCAAATAACCCACAGATATTTCCTATCTCCCAGCCCTTAGCTGTAACACTTGAGCCCTTGAATAAAAAACATTCCTTCCTGCTCTGTGATACCACCCTGCAAATTTAATAGGGAGAGACTTACTTTGCAAATGGAATTGTAATATTAAATATACAACAGAACGACTGTTAAAGTTCCAGAGGACTCTTCTATTCATAATCAAGTTGTGTCTATTCTAGATATACCTTTGCCTTCTCTATTATATTTGATGCATACCCCAGATAAAGGTCTTGACATCATACATGACATTCTATGACCTTAAAAGTCTCCTGACATAGAAAACTAATTAGAGCAGTAAATAGATCCCACCAAATATCCCCAATATCCCTTGAAGCCAGAAACAAAGGAAGGTTTCAAAGCTGTAGTTGAATGCCTTATATCCAAAGGTCTTATATCCTTCACTAGCCCTTGTAACACTCAGTTAAGAAACCAAATGGATAAGGATATCAATTTCTTCAAGACCTCAGGATAATCAACAAAACTTATATCCGTCACTTCCCAGTGATACCTAACGCAAATACTATCTTGGCATCAATTCTACCTGAAGCTACTTGCTTTACTGTAGTGGACCTTTGCTTTGTCTTTTTTGATGTGCCTCTAGATCACATCTAGGACAGTCAATACCTTTTAGCCGTCACCTGAGGAAGATAACAGTATTCCTAGACAGTCATGCCCCAGAGGTTCACTGAAGCCTCCTCCTATTTTCTCAGTTCCTCAAACAAGTCTTAACAGATCTAAATTTCCCGTGTTATTAAGTTCTGATACAATATGTAGATGATGCCTTACTTTATTCAAAGATTAAGAAAACTTGAAAAAGGATTCCATTTACTTGCTCCCAGTCTTAGAAGAAAAGGGACAAAGTTTCAACAGATAAACTGCAGTTTTTACAAAGCACAGTCCATTATTTAGGTCATGGGATATCTAAGGAGGGGAAAACGCTCTCTCTTGATAGACAAATGACTATTCAAACTTACCTTAGACCTCTCACAAAATAACAGTATGACAGGATTTCTAGATTTAACTGGATATTGCAGACACATTTTTATAAGATTGCAATGCCTCTTTATGAGTTGACTAAGTTCTCAGTAAGAGACCTTTTCTGGGAACCCAGATATGGAACAGGCCTTCTGTAATATGAAAAAAGTTCTTCAGTAGATTCGTTCACAGGCATTCCTAACTACAAAATTCCCTTTTGTCTATATGTGCATAAGTGATCTGGACAAGCCCTTGGGATTTTCATTCAACTTCATGGGAACCATCAAAAACCTATTGCCAGACCCTTGACCTGGTTGCAAAGATTTATTCCCCACGTCTTATAGTAATAGCTGCTGCTAAAAATAAAGAAATAAATAATTGTTGAGGTTTCTGCTGAGCTAGTTCTAGGCTCCTTGCTTGACGTCACGGTTCCTCATACAGGACAGACATTACTACTGGCTAAGAACATGCAACACTTTTCAGCCAGCTGATTAACCTCCTATGACATTGTTACTCTTGTAGTCTCGCATTGCTAAGTATTCACCACTCCAACACTGAATTTGCCACTTTGCCAGAGGAATGTGAACCTCACAATTGTCTTACCTTTGCTAGGGAATGTTGTGTACGCATTCAAATGTATTAGAGAATGTCACTGAGGACCACAAACTAATATTATTTGTTGATGGCTCATACCTCAAAACTGAAACTGGAGGTTATCAAGCAGGATATACTATCACTAATTTAAGCTCTCCTTTGGAATGCAGTCCTCTGCCCAAGGTAAAAATCAGCCCAGATGCCAGAACTTATTGCACTTAATAGAGCTAGTCAGTTAACCAAAGACCAGAGAGTAAGCATGTATAGAAAGATAGAATGTATGCTTTTGGAATAGTACATGATTTTGAAAACAATACTGGAAATCTCATTTAAAAAATGGTTGAGTTAGGAAACTTTAGGTGCATTCCTACATCTTAGAGAGGTGGCTGTTATGAAAATGGAGGCTCATCCAGAAAGGGATAATATGGTAAAGAAAATGCTCTAGCAGATCGTTGTGCCAAATAAGCAGCCGTAACCAATGTTATGATCCTATCTAAACCTCAAAGCATCAATCTATGGAGGTATTCAAAGAGGCCATTATAAATATCAGTGTTTAACCCCTGATTTTGAAAGGTAAAAATGGAAAAACTCTGGTTGTACCTTTCACTAAGATAGTCTCTGGAACTCCCAAGGTGGCTGCTTGGTGGCATCAGATGACTTCAAATGGAAATTAGCTAAATTTCTCCATGAAACTACTTATCATGATAGAGACAAATCGGTTGCTCTCTTAAATCAGGACTGATCAGGAAACTCTAAAAGGTTAGCTGATGTTACTTTCAGGTCATGTGTCACCAATCAACAACGTAATCCTGAAAAAAACCCATGAAGGTGGGACATAGCCTGGAACCAAAGCCTCAACAGCCTTTTGAACACCTTCAATTTATTGTTATGTCTATTTTAAAATATTTTTTAGTGATTGTATGTCTACTTTCAGGATGAGCTGCAGCATTTCCTTGCCAAAAAGCTATAGGCTTCACAG